CCCCCCCCGCTGAATCCGGCATGTCCGGCTGCTTGGCACCGCCTGCCCCCGAATCTGCTGCCGGCTTCCTTTCATCCGGGGGCGGGGCCCCACACAGGCTGATTTGTCCCAGGCCCAACACCTTGCTCTGGTCATCTCTGCTGCTCTCCTTACAAGACAGAATTATTGAGACTGCTGCTTGAGTTTTGTTGATGATTTTTTCTTTTCTTTTTTTAATAAACTCACATATTCTCTTCCTTTTTCTCTTCAGAATTGAGTTTCTGCGACATTTGAGAAGTTTCTTCCAGATTATGTTTAAAATTGAAACCAAATCATCTGATGAAGAGCACAAAGGTGGAGAGAAAGTCTTAATGACATGTGTTGGCATTGGATTTTCCAACCTTAACAAGACAATAAAGTGATAAACATCTTCTGAAATACTGAAATGTGAAGTCAAAAGTGATGCAAAAAAGATTTGGTTTAACTTTGTAGATATAAAACGTTTGTGCCTGTACCATTTTCCTTTTCCCCCCAGACTTAAGGGTTGCTGACTTGAAAAATATTTAGTTTTCACTTTTACCCTTTTTGTGAAAAAGTTAATGAGGGAGAAGCAAGAAAACTGACCACGAGAGAAGTATGATGCAAAATGATGTACCAAAATGGAGGTGGAGTTGTAAGGCCACTTCAAAGTAGTACCTAAACTGAGACAAGGTACAAGCTGGTTTATAGATTTCACACAGAGAGAGTTTGTCAAGTGCCTTGATCCTGCAAACACTCATGTAGTCCCATGATCTTCAACAGGACTTTGCTCAAACAAATGAAAGCTACACATACATAAGTGTTTGTAAGACTGCGGCCTGAGTCTTGTATGGACATTGAATAAGAGCCTTCAGGTGCGTGCAGAAGCTCCTCCAGATTCACTAGCTTTGGATCAAATCCTAAACGTTCAAGTTCAGTGCACTGCAGGTCTGGGGAATAAGGAAAAAATAAATGCCACGTAAGTTCTAAAATATAGTGAAAGATGCATCTTCCTGTACTGGGCTCAATCAGTCCTCTTCCACCAGGTTGGAAGGAGAAATCTTTTGACAGAGTATTTTATCTGTAAACTGTGTTATTTCAGATATTTTATTTCACTGGCAGAGCAACTGTCCCAATTTGTTCATTGTACATTATTGCCATATGCTCCAGAATGGAGTTGCTGTGACCATTTGGGAAAGAAAACAACCTGGCTTCATAACTGCAAGATAAAGCTGCATGTGGTCTTGTGTAACTGCTCTTTCTGTGGGGGAAGGGAAGTTTGCCTGGAATTTCTTTCCTAAAATCTGGTGGAGGCATCTCAGGGCATTTGTACACATACACTTGTCTGCTCTGGAATGGATTTAATTAATCGAGCCTGCAGAGCACGCAAGCTGATGTGCCTGGTGCTGCATCACATCCATTTGTATAAACAACGAAATGCACATCAGCACTGAGAAAGTGGCAGCAGTGTGTTTTTGAACTAAAAGACTTTGATGTGTTTTTACACCACTAGAAGATACAGTGATATTATAACATCTTTATCAATTATTGTTGTAAGATGTGTATCCCTCTCTCTGATAGAGATCTGTTGTTCCCATGCAGGAATTTGAAAAAAGTTGGATATTTGACTGGGTTTTTTTAGAGGCTGTAGTCTAATTTTTGTACTGTTTTGTACCTATCTGCCTACGTAAGTTTCTGCCTCCAGGAATAAAATAAAATCTATTTTTCATACATTAAGCTTTCTTCCTTTTCATTAGCTTTTCCTCCAGGCCAGTAATCTGACATTTCAAAAGATAAATAGAACCTTTGGACTGGCATGCCTGGAGCTCTTGCTGCCTTCAAGAACTTCTGGGAGGAGCAAAATGGATCCAACTTGTTTTACAACACGCTGTGGGGAAGCCGTTCTTAAAAATGGAAGTGCTGGAGCATTTTGTGACATCTTGCATATCAATGAAGGAAACTCTGAGATCTAGTGTGTGCCCCAATACAGCCTTATTGATTTGCTGTAGCTGAAAAACGTGTCATCCCTTCATTGATATTTTGGGAACATGCCAAAAATGCTGCAGCCTTTGTCATATAATATAGAATATGTTACTCAACCCCATTATGGCCAGGCTGTGTAAATCAGTGTTTGGAACTGTGCCCCTACTGCTGAACACCTGACTAGTGCACTCAGTTTCTAGATAGTCTGTGGAAGTCTCAGAGCAAGTCTATACTTCAGTTGCTGCTATGACTTGTGTAGGTTAGACATACCTGAACTAGCTTCAAAATAGGTAGCAGTTTAGATACATGGAGCTCAGCATAGCCTGCAAGACTGACCTAAGGAGCAAGGTAAATGTCTGGGCAGCTAGCCCACCCTAAGCTCAGTGCTGTTGTTGCTATACTGCTAGGAGTACCCATACAATAGAGTTTGAAGCTGGCTCACATATGTCTATGTGAAGCTGAAGTTGCAAATAGGACATGCCCATGATTCTCAACCAGGGTTACTTGTGATTCTTTTAAGGGTGCTGCTCTTTTCTTGGTTTTTTGCAGTGAGGCTCCTCCATGCTGCTGAACTGCCCAGGGGCCCCAGTGGCAGCCCCACCCCTCTGCTGATTGGCTGAGAGGGCTGCCCTTCAGGGTGGCCTCACCCCTCACTGCCGATTAGCCGAGAGGACTGCCATTAACACAGTTCTACCCCTTGCTGCTGATTGGCAGAGAGGGGCTGGGCAGCCATCTTAGCCAATCAGCAGTGGAGGGAGCAGTGGGCAGCTGCCATCTTGGCTCCCTCTCTGTATAGGTTCCTACTGGTAGGTATGCAGACACCTATACATTATTCACAAGAAAAAACAGATTCCAAATAGGAATCCATAGTGTCAAAACCATTCTGACCCATTGTGGGGTTTTTTTAATGCTTTGCAATGGAGCAATTTGCTTTCTTACTTTTCCATAATCAGAAAACAAGTGAAAGCTAAGAGCTAGCATTTCCCGAGGCAGGCCATGTATCTAAAATGTTGAGAACCATGGCCATAGGCTGCATACAAAACAAGACTCCTATATTGCAACATGTGAACTTCCTATTGTATTTTGTGTCATGTTCCCCTCCCCCCCCAATTTGTAGTATAGCCCCTTTGATGATGATTGTTTCCAGTAGTTGTCTGGGGACTAACGTTCTCAGATTGACTCTTAGTGCCTTGATCTTTAATCACAACCAGATGTTTCAGATAATGCTGTTTAGAAGACTCTGTTCCTTCAGGTAAAATAATCCATTTTGTTATAAAGTCTGATTGAGGTGACTTCAGTTACCTTGGGAGGTCTTTAATGTAGTTTCAGCAGTAAGCCTAGCTACTGGTAGAACCTTGGCTGAGTTTCTAATGTACAGTTTTCCAAATCCTTTCCAAATGCAGGGTTATGCACGTGGAGAGTGAAAAGCTGTGATGCCCTTAACATCATGAATTACCCTGCAATTCTTATCTTTACTTTCTTCTTCCAAGGCTTGTTGCTTCTTTGGTGTCTTGATAATCTTCCTTTAGCATATAGAGATATTTTTCTTCTCACACACATATAAGACCAGATCCTTGCCTCTGCTATAGGCACTTTTTCCTCAGGGGTCAAAGCAGATCAAAATGGAAGGGCAACATGCCAAAAGTGATTGTGTGTTGTCATGGAAGTATTGCTTAGGGATGTGAACAGCTCAGCAATTAATTGTTTAAACAGTATGCCTGATAACCAGCTATAGCTTACCACTTATCATTTAGTATGGGGTGGAGTGCAGTGTGACAGGGAGTGGGGAAGGGAAGCTGTACAGTGCCCCAGCAGGAACCGGAAAGCAGCAGAGCAGGTGGGAGGAAGGAAGAGAGGAAGGAGTGGAGGGGGGACGGGGGACAACACGACTACTACCTATAGCTATGCTCTGCAGACCCTGGTGCAACCATTTGCAGCCTCCCCACTGCCTGCCACAAGCAACTCAGGCTCTAGGCAGGCCCCTGCTGCCTGCCACAGAGCCTGAGCTGCTTACAGCAGGCAGCAGGGAGGCTGCAAGCAGCTGTGCCAGGGTTTGTGGAGCCTGCCTATAAGTACTAGTCCCCACTCCCCTCCTCGCTCCTCCCTCCTGCCTGCTCTGGGGTTGCTATACTGATTCATCATTTAACCATTGTATTGACAATAGATTAAACAGGAGTCATTTTTTTAATCAGTTTTTATATCCCTATTGGCTTCCTCCTATTGTATAGTAGGATGCAATAGAGGAACTATAATGGAATGAAGGAATTGCATACGTCTGAATAAAGGACATGTTCCTAGGACCTAGGTACTCTGTATGTGGTGCATCCTGGGCGTGTCTACATGTGCGCTTTAATGCACATTAGCCTATTTTAATGAGCATTAAAGCATCACAAAAAACCTATGCTCTTTAGCTAATGTACATCCAAATAGGCTAATGTGCATTTTTCCAGTACCTCACAATGGAGGTACTAGATTTAATGCGCGTTACCTAAAGTGCATTAATTGAACATGTAGATGGGCCCACTTGTGTATCTTGTGGAGCAGTGGTAAGGAGCATCCTTTCTACTCCCACCCACTCTAATAAGGAAGGTCAGGCAGACTATTGTTGAACTTTGATACTGGTGGGGAAGTTCTAGTTATGGGTTTCCAATTCTCTCAGATGGAGGAAGGAAACAGGAGGGAGCAGGCTCTCTTTCTCCTGGAGGGGCAGGATAACTTAAAAAGGGGACAGATTTGTTCATGGCAAGTGCTGGGGGTCTTCTATCTTGGGTAATTAGGTGTCACTTGTTCCAGGCCTTCCCATCAATAGGTGGAGCAAGCACTTTAAACTCCCCAAGTAGACAAGTGGTCCATGTTATCCTATTTCATATTATCCTACTTAGTAAGTCCTCATTTGCCAGCCCGTGAAGAGACAAGATATGGGGAGATGAGCTTCCCCAGTATTAGGAAAGGTAGAAAAGAACCATTATTCTTCCATTTTCAGTGGGAATGAAGAGCTGCCTGCCTCCTGCACTCCCTCGTAGCAGAATCTCTGCACATATTTAGCTTCTTGGGCAGATGCTTGAGCATGTGCACCTGAAAAGTTACTGGCAAAGTACAAAGGGACAGAACCAAGGAACATGTTTCCTGCTTGATTTGTTGTCCTTTGTTCAGTCTTTTGGGGCTGATGCTAAGATGGCTACAATAAATAACAATTCTTTCAAATTAATCATGTCTGCACCCATAACTGTATGTATTGTGCACTTAAACATGCTTCAAGACAGAACAGACATTTGGTTAATTAAGAAGTATTACAGTCTATTTCAAAGAACTGGAACCAGGAACTCCTAAATTCCAGACCCAGCTTTGGGCAAAAACAGTCTTTTCATCCAGAAAATGTAGATAATATCTACTGACTTTGTGATTTTTAATATTTGTAAACACCTTACAGCTAGATAGTTTTATATATTGTCTTGTAAAAGAACTGCTTGCCTCTGGGGCAAGACACATTTTCATTTCAAAGTACTGTAGGAGGAATGTCAAGCCTACTAAAGAAGTGAAGAGATGTACCTCCCCATAAGTATATAGCTATATAACTTTCTACTTAAGACTGTGTCCCTGAGGTTACTTTGCTGAGACTTTTGTGACACTATAAGGACAGGCTTCCATTGTTTATTTTCCTTAATATATACAGATGACAGGTGGTGCTCAGCTGTTTTCTGAATGAAAAGTCCACAAATCTTTCTCCAGCTTGACAGTCTCTTCAGCCATGAGGTAACAAATATGTGAACAAACAAGGACAGATCATCATCTAAAAGGATGGGGCTGAGTCTCCTAGACGACTATTTCTTCATGGTAAAAACATGAAGAAATAATATCATTATTTCAGTGTTGAAACTTTAGCTTCTGGCAAATACTGCTCCTGTCAGCATGATTAATCTTTCCTACATTTGCAGACAGCTATAAGACTCCTCTTTCGGTTAAGGGGTTGGTTGGTTCCAATCAGATGTGCCTCCCGCTGTGTATTAGCGAAGGCCTCTTATCATCTTTATTTCTTTTCTGTAAATATAGTAACCAAAGCTATTACGCCCTAGGTTGGGAAGGAGTTCTTTGAATGAAAACACTCAGATGCCACTATAGAGTACAGAACTGAGCTTAATTAATTGTGCTGCAAGCTGGTAGCTACAGACAATAGACCAGGGGTGGGCAAAATATGGCCCACAGGCCAGATGAAGTCTGCCAAGGGATTTTATCTGTCCTGGGGTGGGTCCCTCAGCCCTGTCCAGCCCAGGGACAGGGAGTAGGCCAGGTGCAAGTGATGCAGCAGCTGGACTGTCTGCCCAGCTGGTGCTGCCAGTTCCCACCCCCTCCTCCCATTCCCACCCCAACCACTGTGGGTACTGGATGGAGAGGGCAGGGGCAAGGTCTCCATGGAAACTGGCTGGGGATGCCTGCAGCAGGGCACAATCAGCTAGGTGGATGGGATGGGGCCGCTGGTGGGCAGGGAGTGCAGTCCAGGACTGGGATGAGCAGACAGGGGCTGGGATCGCAGGGCAGTCACAGTGCAGGGCAGGGGTCTAGGGCAGAGCCACAATCTGCTCCCCACGTGTCCCTGTGATGGGTGCCAGTTCTGTGGGCAGGGTGTAAGAGTAGTGGATCACGGCTTTGCCCTGGGCCTTGGGTCCCAGCCCCATTATCCTGGCTCCAGCCTCATTCACCCATCCCACTCCCAGACGCCACTCTTCACCTGCCCGCGGCCC